ACAGGTCGTGTTCGGTAGGTAATTGAAGTATAAAATTACAGTAGATGCATTCCAATGTTCCTTGTGTATTCCAAAGGCAATACATTATGTTTAAAGATCCTTCAAACATTTTGGATATTAGCTCTACTCTATCTCTGGTCGTTTAATCTATTAGATACGGTTTTTTGTTGTTAATGATAAAAATAATACCTATCTAAAAATTTTATGCATTTTTGAACGTTTTGAACGTAGATTTAGTGCAATTCCGTTATCTGTGATGGCAACAAAGAATTGATTCATAAATCATTATGTCCAGTCTAAACACAGGTGGGTCCAATCTAAACACAGTACATTGGGAATAAAAAGTGTATCAGTTTTATATGACGGGAAGTGTACATATGTCATTTGTTATAAGATAGGTTAGATTCTAGAGTAGATTCCAGTTATAGACATGGTTAGTCGCTTTGTGAAGTCGCCAGTTTAGTATTTATCTATTATATATATACCAGTAGTTGACAACCAACGCTCAGAGGATGACCACATGCAGCCTGTAAGCCAGTAAGGTGCATCCCGTTCCAGATAACTTCGCACCGAAGGCATTAATCAAAAAGGATTATAGAAAAAAAAAATTTTATTTATTTTTATTTTATCCTTTGAATGTGTATTTATTACTATTCATTTATCGGGTAATTATATATTTCTCTGATTTAGTCTATAGGTAGGGTAACTTGATGGGGAAATGGTGAACAAAATTCTGAATAACCCAATTTTTATTAAAATCATATTTACTAAGAAAACTGGACAGATTTGATCGTAGTTATAAGGATCGAATCATTATGTAATGTTCCTTTGTATGCTTCTTCTCGATCGACGATGATAAATATAATAAAATGTTGAAGTTGTGGATTAAAAATTATGGCTTTATTGACAGCTACTAATAATTTTACTATAGATTTTGGTTAGGTAACTTGCTACAATGGACTGTCCTCAAATGAGCTCAAATCCTTAATTTATAATTTCACAAATAATATATACCTTAGCACAGAGGTTAATGCTACTATTATACTAACAAACTTTGTCCTATGAGTTTACAAATACAATTTAATCTAGGTCATTATTGCAACATTTAGGAAGTTGGAAGTAGGAAAGCAATTTGGAAATATATTATTCGTCATTTATTAGGTGCAGGTTTGCAGGTGAATGGACTTTAATTATTAAAATACTACTCGATATAGTTTTCACAATGTTTAAGTTATACACGGTGAAACTATAAAAGGTTAAAAAGTTAAGAATAATGTGAGATTACAAATTAAGGGATTAATTTGTGATTGAACAAAACTAAAAATGAAACAACATTGTCTTTTAATACAGTACAACGAAGTCTTAAAAATGAAACAATATTTGATTCCTAAAAAGGTATATCATTTCATTCATTGTAAGTTAGTTGGTGAGTAATATATGGCTGAGATAGAGAAGTGAAAAATATGGATCTTATTATACTTTTTGTGTTTAAGTAATAATTATCCACACATATTACAATTCTTTCATAAGTTGGGTTTGTTTGTTGAGCATGATTTTTTTGTTTTGTTTACTTACTCGTTAATACCTCTTACATGAAGAAACGTTATTCTTCTTATATAATTATGAAGAAGAAAAAAGGGGTTATCAAAAAAGAAGACCAACACCTGTTTTAACCAATTTAAAAATTACTCAGAAAAAGCAGTTGGATACTTGAAATTTAGTTCGTACAGTAAAAATGCTTAATACAATTCTTGTACTACAAAAAGTCATTCTTCTTATATAATTTAAAAAAAAAGGAGAATATTGAAAATGGAAGACTAACACCTATTTTAAAGGAATAAAAAAAGCCGTTTAATACTTTTAATTTAGTTGGTGTAGTTAAAATGCTTGATTATGTGGTTGCAAGAAAAATAGATTGTATTGTTGGTCATGTCTTCATAGCATAGCCAACAATACAGTATATTATGAATGAACAAGAATCGAAAGCTTTTTTAACCAAGCTTTAAAGTAAATATCGCTAAAAATAATGCAGTTGTTAGATACATCGTTAGCACACTTATAGATGCCGTATTTTTTTTGGCCAAAAAAGAATTAGCGTTTCGGGGTTATTTTGAGGGTGATGACTCTGACAATATGGAAAATCACAGGAAATTTTTAGCATTAATTGACAAAAAAATCAAAAATTTTGCCAAGATCTAAAAACATTAACTGTTTTTTCGGGAGTTTCACGTGACACACAGCCTTGCGATGGCACAGCTGTAATGAGTGGGCAACACAACGGCCTACAAAAACTGAGTAAAGATAAGTATCAAGATGCAATTTTTGTTCATTGTTATGCGCACAGACTCAATTTGGTTTTACAGTGAAACTTATAAAAAGTGTAAAAAAAATTTTCAACTGTTACCAGGGCTTGCTGATTTTTTTTTAATCGTTCAAACGGGCTGCTGCTTTGAATACATTAGTACAAAAACATTTACCCAAAGTAGTAACAAAGAATGATTTTAAAGAAATGCATACTAACACATCAACATGGCATGAAGAGACACGAATTTGTACAAAAGGTTTTTACATTACATTGCAAGAATTTTATTTTAGTTGGGAGTACTTTACCGAAATCAGAAGTTTTGTTTGATATTTTACAGAAAAAAGGTGTGACATTAGATTTTGCATAAGTAAATTTAATGAACTTCTCGAATTCAGAGATTGTATAAACAGTAGCTTTTAAAATATGTTTTCTTTTTGCTGCTTATTTAATTTTAATTGGGTAATTTTATAGTGGAATAATCTTTGGGAATAGTGATTCGTTTACTGTTTTCCTACAAGCTTATATTAGTTATACGATGCTCCAGTCGCCCAGTACAGTGCGTAAAATAATATTTATCTATCTATCTAATCAGACTTAAACGCCAACTTTTGGGCATAGGCCTCCCCTGTTAATCTCCATTGGTCTCTATTTTGGGCGATCTGCATCCAGTCCTTTCCTACCGTTCTCTTAAGGTCGTCAGTCCATCTCATCTGTGGTTTTCCTCTTTTTCTTTTCTTTTCCCATGGTCTCCAGTGTAGAATTCGCTTATTCCATATTTCATATTTTTGGCGGAGAGTGTGACCGGCGAAATTCCATTTAAGTTTTGCAACCTGTCTTGATACATCGTTCACCTTTGTTTTTTCTCTGATCCATGAGTTTATTTTCCTGTCTTTAAGACCGATACCCAGCATCTGTCTTTCCATTGCTCTTTTTGTTTTGGATATCCTATCGATGTTCTCCTTTGTGAAAGTCCATATTTGTGAGCCATATGTGATAGCTGGTAAAATGCACTGATTGAATACTTTCGTTCGCATATATTGAGGGAACTTTTTATTTTTTAGAATATAAGATAGTTTACCAAATGAAGCCCATGCTAGTCTAGTTCTTCTTTTTTTTTCTTCTGTTTGATTGTCCCTGTTCAACTTTATTATCTGTCCTAGGTATATGTATTCTGCCACCTGCTCTAATTTATTCTGTTTGACTACAATTTCTAATTGGTCTTTTTGGTTTGTCATAGTCTTGGTTTTACTATAGTTCATCTCTAGACCTACCTCTGTCGCTTTTCTATCTAGGTCCTCAGCAATCTTCTGTAACTCTGTTCTTCTTATCTGTTATCAGGACTATATCGTCTGCATATCTCAAGTGCTTCAAGAGCTCACCATTTATTCTTATTTCGTATGTATCCCATTCTATTTTTTTAAATATATCTTCCATAGCCTGATTGAACAATTTTGGTGATATTGTGTCTCCCTGCCTGATTCCTCTTTCGAATTTTATTGGTTCTGTAGCGTGTTCGTTCGTCAATTTTATTGTGGTACTCGCATTTTTGTATATGTTTGTTATTAGGTCCGTGTACCTGTAATCAATTCTGCCGTTCTGTAGTGAGTTTTTGATGGTAAAATGTTCTATGATGTCAAACGCCTTTCGGAAGTCTATGAATGCCAGGTATAATGGGATTTGATACTCGTTCGACTTTTCAATTAGTATTTTTACTGTTAGCAGATGGTCGCTAGTACTAAAACCCTTTCTGAATCCCGCTTGTTATCTTGCTTTGTATTCGTCAAGCTTAGTTGTAATTTTATTTGTCATTATCTTCGTTAGTAGTTTAAATACAACACGCTTTGACAAGCGTGGCGTTTTAATGTCAAAACACCCCCTCAAAATGTCGAGTTACAAAACAAATGAAAAATACCCCAGGTGGGTAGAGTAAACAGCTCAGACTCCCACACCGCGAAAACGTTCGTGGGTCAGCCGCCCTTTCAGGGTCAGACGCTGTTGCAAGCCGCCCATTCTGGGACAGACGCTGCGGTGATCTAATTTTATACTAACCCTAAAATCAGGGATTGCCACTTCCACCATACACACCGTACTGAAGAAGTTCTTCTCCGCCATGGATACCGTTGTGGTCTTCATCCGTTACCCTGGACAAGAGACCCTAAGCAGGTACTAGTTTCCCGGGTCAGGAAAGTCCTGGAATCTGCAAAGGGTAAAATAATATACAATACCTCAAATAAACAAAAACTTATATTTGGGAAGTTCGAAATCTTATTTTTTTATAAGATTTTTTACATCTGGTTTTGGTAACACTTTAGAAAAATTCACGCGTCGCCACTGTTGTAACTAACGCTGACACCGAGCACACGTTATTCAATCAAAAATCTTTTAAGTGTATTTATATACTTCACCACATCCAATACAGTAGTCATTATCGTCTTCTTCAACTTCATCAACATCACCATCATCCAGTTCTGGTTGACTTTTGCCACGATGTGTCAGACATATCTATTTTCATTTTTTTACTTTAAGTTTTGACTCCTTTCTTGGTTGCTTACTGTTTGCTTTTACTATCTTCTTCCGTTTTTGTTGAATTTTTTCCTTCAGAGATTTTCTATTGCACCTAATATTCAGAGCCGAAGCTAAATTTCTTGATCTTCTACGAACTGCTTTATCGTGAGGAAGTTTGGGTTCTGTGGAAATGTTTTCCAATATTTTTCCCGGTGTAATTTCATTATTTGGGCTACTTGAAACTAGCAGACCACTGCAAGGCTCCGGTCGTACCAATTTCAGTAAGTCAGATGAAGGGCTATTTGATCATTCAGATTCAGGAGAAAAATTTTTTTCTGAAAATAAACCATTATGTTTTAAAAAAGTTATTAAAAATCCTTTGTAAAAGGTATTTATTTAGAACCTAAATGGGCTAAGTTAAAAAAGACAAAACGTTTTCGGAATCTATATTCCATCATCAGTGTCTAAGAGTACATGAATGTAGCCACTAAATACATGGGTAACAACCCGTTAACAAATAATTAATTACATTTAGTTTACAAATTTTCTTATAATGGTTTAGGATGTTAAAGTTACCGTTGTATTAGGTAACATGACGACATATGACTCCACGTTGAAGTTTCTAGTCTTGAGACTAGCTCAGACTCATTATGTTTTAGTTTAAAATAAAACCAAAATAGTAGGTAGACATAAATGATTTAGTACATAAAATTTACGTGTGATCAGTGTTTACGTATTTTGAAGAAACATTAGTAGTCTAGGGTTACTCCATTATTGTTGGTATATTCTTAGTCCTGATTTATTCTTTTAGTATTGGTAGACGGAGTGTGATACATTCTGTGGATAAGTTTGCACATTTGTCTCCATTAAGTAAGATGGGTGTTTCTTCTGTAATTTTTCTCATTGCGAAGTCTGTTGTCGCATAATATGACTATTGAAACCATTTCCATTGTACTCTGTGCTTATTGTAACATGCATATTTACATATCAGGTATCTATCGATGTCCATATTTTGAGGTATGCTTCATGCACATTTATCATATCCAAGATATCCTATGGATCCAAGAATATACCAAAAGTAATGGATTAATAGGTCAGAGAAACATCACCTAAAATTGTATATAGTTTATAAAAACATAATACACAAACACACAAAAATCAGAATTCGATATCAATCCAAGGGTACAACATCATCTTTGGAGTTTCATCTCAAAATATTGCTTTTTGTCTACAGGATAGAGGACAAGTAAGTCACTTGTTCCATATCCTGTATCCTGACATATATCCTGACATAGCACCAATTAATAAACAACCACAGATTATAAGACAAGAAGATCGCCAACCTTAATGTTAAAAATTGCCGATACGATTTACAGCGCCCTCTACGGTAGAATTCTACACTAAATGCTAATGACTTTGTAACTTACCTTAACGATGGCCAAAAAAAAGAAGACAGAAATCTGTTAATGAGAAGCGGGAAATTCAAATTTATATGACGCGGGAAATTCAAAATTATAGTAGGAATTCTCTATAATTTAAAGGGACACTGTCAAGATAAATTGTAAAAATAAAAATATATCCGTCTGAACGTTTTAATCTATCACATTTTTAACAATACAAGTGCAAGAATTGCAAAGAACAAAGAACAATGCAAAGAATGTTTTTTACCACCATCTTGAACAAGTCCTATTAAATTATAGGAATTAAAATTTAATGGTTATAAAACAAACCATTATTGCTGTAATTCATTTCACACATTTGCATTACATAATTTTAACAATGAGTAAATAAATCATAAAAATTCTATTTGGCAAATGTGAAGTTCATAGTTCATATGACAGAAGAAAGATAGAATAAGGTTGAATCTCACTCAAGCTAGGAAAAAAATAAAAATGTTCTATATAGTACAAGTGTTGGTATTATTCAAGGAAACCGGGGACGGTAAATACAAGTTAAATCTTAAAATATTTATTATGTATGGCTTCCTACTCACTTTATAATGCTCTAAAAATTGCGGATTTTATTTATGGTGGTGGTGGAGATATAAAAACATAAAATACAAATAACAATGTCCAAAGAAAAATAACAATTTTAACTATAGTAATACAAACGTGAAAATATCAAAATTTCCCGATAAACTAGGGTGAATAGATGCTTTTTTTCTATTTTTTAGTTTGTTTTTAAATTAAGTATCTGACTCATCTGACAAGAAAATAGTTTCAGAACCTCTTTAATTTGACGAGTTGTAAATAAATACGTCGTATCAGTAACAAAATCACAACTCATTTAATATCGCCCACCTCTAGGATATCTCGATTAATTTTTTATTATGGCAGACGGATAAAGCAATAATTGAAACAAGTTTTAATGACAAAAATATCATTTCGTTGTTTATTTGGTTAAGTGTAAATGTACAAAAGGTAAACATGGATCGTGTTTACTTTTGAGTATATATTTGATTGATTAGGTTCACATGACATCGAAGCTTTATATTAAGTTTAGTGAACTTCAAAAGTTTAAAAAGGTGTCAGTTTATGAAACATTGGTATAAAATGTTAAAAATAATTTATAATTATTTATAATTTAAAATAAGTAATTAGGTATTTTGTTTTATCTTGTCAAAGAATCAAAGAAGCAGTATATATATATATATATATATATATATATATATATATATATATATATATATATATATATATATATATATATTCAAAAATAAAATACACATAAATACACAATAAAACAAAATAAATACACAATGTGAGTCAGATTAAAGTCTCACTGTAAATGAGAATATCTTTTAAGAAAAATAAAAAATGAAAAACTATTTCAATCTTTTAATAGAAAACGTTTCGTGCAGTAATTCTACACTTCTTCAGTTCTAATAATTGTAAAGTCATCTCAAGATGTCAAACAATGTCAAATGCATATGATCAGGTGTAACAAAATACATTTAATAAATGCAATAAAAGTTACAGTGAAAAACACATACAGAGTTTTTCTTAAAATTTACACAAACATTAAAAAGTCACAAAAATGTCACAATATGTTAACAAAAACAGTATAATATAATACAATACTTCTATTCTATCGCTGATGAACAATATATCGAAACATGAAGCCAGGAGAAAAAGTAACTTGTTTAAATTAGAAATTAGAGCTTAGTGAACAATTTGAAAAAAAAAATATTTTTAAAGAAAAAAGCATGTCAATAGTCAGAAATACGTATATACGGTTGCCTTACATCTTATACACATATTTTATTATATTGTTTTTTCTTTGTTGCGAGCTATGCCTATATCTTTTGTTGTCTAGTTGTCTAGTTGTTATATATTGACTGATATATCTATTAACAACTAACCTACTTTAATAATAATTTTCATTAACTAAAAAAGATAACATTCCCTTGCTTTTCTTAGATACATCTTAAGATATTATTTTAATAATACATGAACAATATACTAATTAAAAAAGAATGTCAATTAAGAAAATTCTAAACTAATATCTCCCCAGACTGGGATCTAACTACATCGGTTTTACCAATGAACCTTAACAACATAAATATTCAAAAGTACTACTTGTATTTGTCAGCGCTTGCGTTCTATGAAAACAGAACCTCACATTCAAACTTTATTCTTCTTCTTCAAGTGCCGTCTTCGTTCCGAAGTTTGGCTATCATCAAAGCTATGCGTATTTTTGATGCTGCAGATCTAAACAATTGGTAATTGGTGCAATTGTACCATTCTCTCAAGTTTTTCAACCATGAATGCCTTCTTCTTCCTATAGATCTCTTTTCCATTATCTTTCCCTGTATAATCAATTGCAGCAACTGGTATTTATCTCCCCTCATAACATGTACCAAATATTGTAGTTTGCGCTTTTTACCAGGAAGTATCAGCTCTTTCTCTTTCCGCACTCTCCGCAAAACCTCCACATTTGTTACTTTCTCTGTCCAGGGTATTTTTAATATTCTACGATACATCCACAACTCAAATGCTTCTATCTTTTTGGTATCGATCTTTTTCAATGTCCATGTTTCCATCCCGTAGAGGAGAACTGACATAACGTAACATCTCAAAAGGCGAATTTTAAGTTTTAGACTTAGATCTCTTCCGCAGAACGCCTTTTTCAATTTAGTAAATGTGGCTCTAGCTTTCTCTATTCTGGTTCTGATTTTTTCAGAGCAGTCATTATTTTCGTTGATAACAGTTCCCAGGTAATTATATCTTGTTACACGTTCTATTCTTTGATGATGCACGGTTATGCCAGGGAAGTTTTGTGGTGATTTAGATATTAGCATTATTTTTGTTTTGCTTGTGTTAAGTGATAATCCGTGTTCTTCACTGCATTCTACTATTTTGTTAATTAGTATTTGAAGATCTTCCCAAGTTTTTGCGATTAGTACCGTGTCATCGGCATATCTCAAGTTGTTTATTCGGATGCCATTTATCTTAATACCTATATTTTGATCCGAAAGTGCTGTGTTTATAATGTCTTCGGAGTATAGATTGAATAAGGTCGGTGAGAGTATACAACCCTGTCTTACGCCTTTCTTGATCTTGATTTCCTCCGTTGTCTCTTGCTCTATTCGGATATTTGCTTTCTGGTTATAGTAAATCTTAGAGATAATTCTAATGTCCCTTTTATCCAAGTTTTTTTTCTACTAGCAGTTTCATTAAGTGGTCGTGACGAACTTTATGAAACGCTTTGTTGTAATCAATAAAGCACATATATATATATATATATATATATATATATATATATATATATATATATCTTGGTTTATATCTAGACATCTTTGGCATATGACGTTAAGTGCAAATAGTGCTTCTCTTGTTCCAAGCCCGTTCCGAAATCCGAATTGAGTATGACTAATATCTGCATCTAGTTTTCTGTTAATTCTTGAGTGGATTACTTTCATGAATACTTTTAATGTATGCCCCATTAAGCTGCTTATAGTGCGGTAGTCAGTGCACTGTTTTGCACTTGCCTTTTTTGGTAAGGTTACAAAAGTTGAAAGTAGCCATTCCTTTGGTATTTCTCCTCTTTTGTAGATGCAGTTAAAAAGGTCGAGTAGAATATTCACTGATTCGCCTTCCACAAGCTTAAGAAGTTCTGATGTGAGCTCGTCTGGACCCGGTGATTTACCATTTTTCATTATTTTTATAGCGTATAATAGTTCTTCTTTAGTTATTTCTGGTCCTTCGTCGCCTTGCAAGTTATCTATATTAGGTTCTTGTCTTTCATCGTCGAACAATTCTTCTACATAGTTCTTCCAGGTCCTAAGCTTTTCTTGTAGATCGGCTATTATTTCACTATTTGCGTTGCATAGGAGATTGGGATGTTTTCGTTTTTGTGTACCTGTCAGTTCCTTTATCTTGTTATGTAAGTTAAAAGTGCCATGTTTGAGATGTAGTTCTTCGATTTCCTCGCATTTTCTTGTATAAAAAATTTTCCTTTGCAGTTCTTATTTCTTTTCTGATTTGTTTGTTTACTTCATTATATTTTTGGCTGCATTTTCCCTTTAACTGTCTTCGCTCTTCCATGAGACCTAAAATTTTTTCTGTTATCCATTCTCGTCCTTTTTTCTGTTTCTCTTTGGTAAGCATTTTCTGGGCAGGTTTTATTATGGCGTCTTTTAAATCTTGCCACTTATCTTCTACATGCGTGTTCTCTGTCTTTGTAGAAAGCATTCGTAAGTTATCATTGATATGTTGTTTTAAATCTTCTTTAATTGTTGGATCTTGTAAGCGGCTGGTATCTATGTGATCTATTTTTGTTTTATTTGAAGGTCTTTTGAGTCTAATGTGTACCCGCGCTATCAGGGGGTTATGATCTGAAGAAACATCTGCGCCTGGATAAGCCTTAACTGATCTTATACAGTTTCTGTATCGCTCATTTATTAAAATATAATCTATCTGATTCCTAATTATTTTTTCCCTAGTGTGTTGAGGGGACGTCCATGTGTACAGTCTTCGTTTGTATAGCTTAAAGAATGTATTTGAAATTATCATATCATTCTCTTGACAGAACTCTAAAAGTTTGTCTCCTCTGTCGTTTCTTGCCCCTAAACCATGTTCTCCCACATTTTTTCCGCTTTTTCCTTTGCCAATTTTGGAGTTGAAGTCTCCAAGGATAAGTGTAACATCTTTTGGCTTTGTAGACTTTAGAACTTGATTTATTTGTTCATAAAACTGCTCAATCTCTTTATCTGATTTATCTGCAGTAGGGGCATATACCTGTATAATATTAAGTTTTGCAGTTTTTGTATGCAGTTGTAGGAGCAGGATCCTGTCTGACACTGGCGAAAAATTAGTGACAGACTGTGTCATTCTTCTTGAAACGACAATTGCTACACCATATCTGTGATGTGGGTATTCATTTCCTGAGAAATAGATCATACCGTTGCTTGTCGAGACGTTGCCTGCACCCGACCATCTTGTATCGCTGATGCCTAGGATATCGATGTTTAATCTTTGCATCTCTTGTATAACGTTGTGAATTTTCTTAGGCTCGTACATGCTTCTGACGTTCCATGTACCAATATTTATTGTATTTTTAACACATATTTGTCACATATTAGAGACATCCCTTAGGATCTTTAATGCAGTGGTTTCTTCTTGCCTTCTGCATCCTTATGCCGTTGACCATTTTTTAGTTCCTCCGCCTTTGAGATCGATTTCTCAGTCTCAGGACAAAAGAGTGCCCTTCCAGTTACCAGTTCATCCGCCCGAAGCCGTTGGCCAGTAATTGATGGACTGCTTATACCGGCAATCATTCGGTGACTTGATTCTATATCAACCCTGAAATCGAGGGTTGCCACTTCCGCCATCCGCACCGTACCGAAGCTCCGCTTCTCCGCCGTGGCCGCCGTTGTGGACTTCATCCGCAACCCTGGACAAGGGATCCTAAACAGGTACTAGTTTCCCGGGTCAGGAAACCCCCGGAATCTGCGGAGGGCAGGAATTGATTCATTTTCCCTGATAGGACTATCTTCAAGTATTTAAAGAGTTCCTACCCGCTACCCGCTCAAACTTTATAACAATCAAAAATTTAGTTATTGCCGACAATTCAAAGAATTACTTCCTTTAAATATAGTTACATTGGGTTTTTCGATTAACCTTGGGTAAACCTTTGCGTTTTAAGTTCAAAGCTACTATACATTTCTAACGTTAACAAAAAAAAAACTTTTTTGTACATAGTAACAAAAAAACACCACTATGTCGTTACTAGCTAAGTTTTTTAACATCCTAACTCGACATTTCTAAAATTTACGGTATGGTTAATTTCTCTTTCAGCCCTGAAGAAGCCAAATTAATTCTCTTTGGCGAAAACGTTCGGCGAAACAATTTATAAACATTAGAGTTTTTCTTGCAGATTTCCCCAATATTTAAGAGTTTACTATATATATATATATATATATATATATATATATATATATATATATATATATATATTTATATATATATATATATATATATATATATATATATATATATATATATATATATAAATATATATATATATATGTATATATATATATATTTATATATTTATATATATATATATGTATATATATATATTTTATATATATATATATATATATATATATATATATATATATATATATACTAGAGCTAAGATTAATACTATTATAAAAATTAATATAAACCTCATGAGTCTACCGGGTTGAACCGCGTTAATATCCATTGAGCCGAGCTTTCGACATTCTCTGTAATGTCTTCTTCAAGGCATCCGAGGTCTCAGTCTCTCAAGTCCTCAGACACTACTAAACTTACTAGTCACTTCACTACAGCGTAGTGAACGTAGTAACTTGTAATAGTAAAAAACTGATTTTTTTTTATTAATAGGCAATACGGAAAACAATATTTAAACAATATTTTTTGTTACAGGAAACCGATTCAGCTGTGACTGCCGATTGGACTGGGTCTACATCCTTTACCAAAAAACCGCACAAGCGCATATTCGCAAGTCACTAGAAGAGCTTAATTGTTCTTTCCAGTCAGATAGAATACCTGCGAAAGAATCTACAGAACATTTGGTTTGTCCACCAAAATCAGACGATTATACATACCAAAAACAAACCAACGAAGTAAGCAACATTACAAACGACATCCATACGCACAAAATCAACTTACTGTCAATGCCAGTAAAGAAATTACCTTGTCCTCCTGAGTACAGACCTACTCCGATCACCGTCAAACAAGGACATCCGCAGGGTAGTGAAATCTCCAGTAATTGTGGTGTATATTTTAAATCTTTGCACGTGATATATATTGGTGTTTTTGTCTTTCTTGTATAAAAACTTTTAACCTGTCAGCTGGTCGGGTTAGTCCAGAATTTAAAGACTGAAAAAGTGCATCGTTCGTCAATAAAACTTATAATACAGCTTTTATCACGTACAACATAAAAATTGTATCCTAATTCTTCTCGTTTAATTTTTAGCAACTATTAATATAAATATAATTTATCAATATACAAACAAATCATACTGCTATTTATACAATTTAAAGCTTTATATTTTCTTTGCTTTTTTCTCACTAAATATTATATATCCTTTTTTTTCTCAAGCATTCCTTTACGTGCATCATGAAATTATAAGTCGTCTGGTTGTTTATTTTTCGAAAAGAAATAAAATCATGAAGAAATAAAAATAGGTAGAAAATATCTGGATCATCTACGATTCTCCAATAATAACACCTTGTAATGAGTTGATAAATAAGTTTAAAAAGTATGTTTCTGTTACCAGATAGTGAGCTCCTTCTGCTCCTTTGTCTTCATTGCCTCAAAGAACAGATAGTGTACTTCTCTTGTAATGAGTTGATAAATAAGTTTAAAAAGTATGTTTCTGTTACCAGATAGAGAGCTCCTTCTGCTCCTTCGTCTTCATTGCCTCAAACAACAGATAGTGTACTTCTCTCCATTCTGTCTCTCCTCTCATTATTATGTTCACCATATTTCTTTTGTTCAGCTTGAAACCCAAATGCGTCTTTAAGTCTTACCTCTTATTTGCTCATCTCTGACAGTTAAAAATGTGGGAGCGAGCGTCCGGCACCCCACAAACAGTACTGTTCGCTGAGGAAGATTTGTCTCTCCTATTTGTGAAGGTACCAAAACTACCATGTTCGGTCAGAAACTGTGTTAGAAAGTAGTCTAATTTCCTAAACTTATATTTCCACCACAGCCTCAGATCAGGAATAAGCTTCTTTGTCCATCTTGCCTTTTCGCTATCATTTGCCTATTCTCTCTGCTACTCTATCGTACTATCTTTTCCTTATCTATATTTCCATTCATCCTCCTCACATATACCTTCGCTAGCTCTTTATATAACAAAACGATCGGTATCACCGCTTCAATGGGATACAATCTTGTAGGCGCTAGATACCCTGAGGAGCATTAGCCTTAACGAAATCTTCACCAGCTTTGCGTATTTTAAAGTATTTAGTGCGCTACATCGCACGGATGCAGCCTAGGTCAGCACCGACTGAAAAACTTTATTTAGCACCTGTCTTTTGGTGCTACCTAGGCCTCCAATGTTTGGCATCAGCCGTAGTAACGCCTTCAGACTTTGGTTTGCCTTCTCTACCATCTTTTGGATAAGGACTCTGAACCTTAGTCTTTTCGATAGCCAGATTTCTAGATACTTAACTGATTTAACCGGTGCAACCTCGTCGTTCGTTCGGTATACCCTGTAGTCCGCCTGCTTTTCGATTTTGTAAACTTATTATTTTTTAAACGTATTGCATCTTTGACTTCCAGTACTTTTATTTCATGGTCTTCATCGTGTTTCACTTCATATGTTGTTGTAATGGTGTTCATGAATTGCGGTCTTGTTTCAGTCACAATTTGTAAGTAATGTTTGGTCTAAGATGTTTCTTCTATTAAATTTATTCTACTCACTTCTTTTCAGTTTGTTCTTAGGTTTTTACTGATATTCATGCTTTTCTTGATCTTGTTGGCTCCATGTATTTGTTGAGCTCTTCGCATTTACTTTTCCAGGAAAAATTGATCGCTTTAGTTACTAAATTTTTTACTTCTCTTTTCAATTTTCCGTATGATCTTTTATCATTTGAGTCATTTTTTTGCAACCACTTTTGATATGCTTGGTTCTTGTTGTGTACTGCAATAGCGATGTCATTTGTTCACCACAATTGAGTATCTTTTTTGTTCCTTTGTACCGTTCTAAGTGCTTTACAAGCTGCTTCATCGATTGGTAAATATTATGGGCTGAGGAGTAGATCAGGTTTGTTAATTTTTGACTAAGCCGTTACTTATATAAAAGCGATGTTAAGTCGTTTTTAGTGCATCAATATTGTATTTGGATGGATTCGTTTTCAGTGGTTTTGATTGTGCTGGTTAGTTGTTATTTAGTTGTTGTGATCGCGGTCGATACTGTCCGTAATATTTTGATCATACCATATAGTGGTCAGTTCCACACTCTGGTCCTCTTAACAATCATGTCTTTTGTTATATGTGTTTTTTCTTGTTCTGTGGTAACACAATCTATAATTGACTTAATGTTGTTAAGAGGCTTGTTAAGAATAAAAAGAAATGATAAAAGGTACACAGTAAATTAAAGTTACCAAATATTTTAGTCACTATTACTCGTGTGCTTTTTCATCTAAAATGATACATGTAAATAAGAAATATATAAAAAGTGTATGTGAAGAAGGCTATATTATAATATTTACTAACGGGATCTGTATTATATCTGAATACATAACAATGTTGGATATTTTGGTGTCAGTTGATAAAAATAATGCTCAAAAACTTTTGGATGTCCAACATAGATAATAGAATAAACTGTTTTCTTGTACATTTGAAATTTACCATTGGTTATTGTTAGGTCTTTAAGTAATTAAATAAAACTGTTTTTAAAGCACAGTTTTAGTAGTTTTATTTTATGGAGTTAATGTAAATATCAATCTACTAATAAAACTCTTTAATTAGAGTCAAATAATTTTCTATTTTTATTTTTATTATTTTAATTCAAATTGTGAGTTTAGCAACACAAGGAAGAGGGGACTGCGTTAATAATAGCCAGGCGTACTCATGGGAAAATATGGGTTTTACACGGCGTAAAACCACCAATTTCCTACAGTATCTGGATAATTTGATTATCCACAGTGGTATGGTAACCTAACATGCAGCAAAAAAGTCATCAAGACATCTTCAAATTAGCAAGAATTGGTTGCCTTAGAATCACAGGAACTGTGACGAACACACCAATAGCAACTACGAATGTTCTTCTAGACCTTCCCCTTCATATCGTTATAGGCGGATAAGCGAGAACGGTCAACCATTTTTTATCCACTCCTGAACGTAGGTATCTCCCTCAATCCTTCTATGTATATGATGTACAAGATGTACCAATATAATCCTATGTTTACCAGTCACTTATATTATGACATCTACCCATATCTTTTAAGTTCTTCCCACCAAACTTCTTCTGTATGTCTACCTGCTGTCATCCTATCTGAAAATGTAACAGGTCCAGCACTATTTTATTTTTGTAATATCTTCCACGATAGCTCAAATCTTCGTTATAGATTTTTAATTTTGTCTCCAATTTTGTCTCTAATTTCTGCAATTAAGAAATATTCCAAGCATGTTTGAGCCATTTTTTTGCATTATTTGTAGGGATACCGGCAATATTCGGTACTTCGAGGATCTCGTCACTTTTCATCTTGAGCTTAAGACGAAATCGAAACAAGACTTTTAATTAGGTTTCAAGACAAGACAAGATGTTGAGCTCAAGAATCTCAAAAATGTCGAATTTTGAAAAATTGTTTTGTTCTTTTGTATGATACTACTGCGGTAGTATTATTTTTAGTGTTAAGAAGCACTCCCAGGTATACAAATTATTTCACTGCTTCGATTACGTTGTTGTTTGTAACAAGTGGTCATAGGATTTGTGGTTGCGTGCTTATTTCCATTTACTTCGTGTTGTTGGTGTTGATTTATTATTTAATGAACCAGTTGTTGTGAGTTGTGGCATACGTATTACTTTTACCAGAGCCAGATTGAACAGTATACAGAAGAGAGGGTCTACCTGGCGCAGCCCGTTATTTATTGTAAAAGGTTTCAGACATTTGCCCCTAAATTCGTACTCTACATTCAACTTGGTTAAAAGTTAGTTTTGTTAAATTTACCAACTGATTTGCTATTCCTAGCTCTTTTATTGCTTTGACCATTTTTGTTCTATTCACAGAGTCGTAGGCTGCTTTGTAGTCTATAAATATGTGATGTGTAGCAATGCCATATTTTAGTTTTTTTTTCAAATTTTTTTTTTGGGTTGCCATCTGATGAATTGTCGTTTGACCACTTCTGAAACTAGCCTGGTATTTTCCTACTATCCTACTTATTTTGGTATTGATTATGTTATTTTAAAATTAAAATGCTTGAGCTAGATCTTGTAAGCAAATAGCACATAGTGGCTGCAAAAAATTTTGAATGTGATGTTTTTACTTTTGGAATATCAAATTCTGGCTATTTTGTGCATTCTGTGTTATATGTTTATGTAAAAAAATTATATCCTAGTTGTGGTTGAGCAACGTCAATTATTGAACAAAAAACATATTTGTTGTTTTGTGTGTATTAGGTGTTGCATATACAGATTGAACCAAATTAAAACGGAACATACAATTTAATACATGTCTGTTTGAACTGCATTTGAAATAGTGGACCAATATAAAACTTGGACAAAAATAAATCAATACCTGGATATAGACATTGTATAAAATATCGTTCAACTATCTGTCCCACAACAATGTTGTTTGCGTAAGACGGGTTTGTCTAAGGAAACGATAATAACTCAGGAAATGAATCTCGAAAAAAGTTAAAACCTCGCAATTTTTTCGTCCTGCATGTATCCAGTTGAAATTTTAACAGAAGGTAGGTGATAGGCCAAGGATCAAAATCTATATCGAACCGAAGTGCGCTGAAGGGTTTTAGGGGTGAAAACTACCCCTAATTTTCAAAAATTATAAAATAACATATTAAACCTGAATATGGGTAAGATTTGGTTTGAATTAGTTAAATAATGATTATTTTATACTTTTGAATAGAGTTCCATCATATTTCAACCCTTAAAAAGCAACCCTTGTTAGAGGTTAATGTAAAAAAATTACTAATTCTAAAAAAATGATTTCGCCTTGGATCGATTTGGATAAAAATTTGGATTTAAGATCAATTCACCCGCTGTTTTATAGTTTATGTCATGTCGTAGAACCCTGATTGTTCTAAGGGGTGAAAACTACCCGTAATTGTCAAAAATTATAAAATAACATATTAAACCTGAAT